ATGTATGATTTGAAAAAATCTTATTAAAAAATCCTAAACATGGTTTTCCATGTTGGAATACATTCAAAGGAAATGCTAGACTCTGCTTTTCCAGGCATTAGAAGGGATGTGGCTTGATGGCGAGGTGAGGCCGTGCTCATCAGGCTCCCAGGCAGTTCTTGCACCTGACTTGTTACGCCTGTAGTCGTAACCATAGCAATGCCCGTCAAAATGCTTCAAACATTTTCTGAATTGCGGCCCTATTATATTTTACAGCAAAATTGCCCTCATTTTACATATTAACTCCTTTTAGCCCTTCATTTCATCGCTTGTCCAAGGTGAAAGGCTGGAGATTCTTTTACCTCATAAAGGTTATGAGATAAATATGAAATTTAAAAGTCACTATGGAGACCACCTAGTCCATGTAAAATGACGAAGGGGCACAGGAAGATGATAATGTGAACGCGCCGCCAGACTCTGAAAGCCATAAACATTGTTTCGGCCGTTAAGGCGGTTGGCTGCCAGTCACCGCCCATCGGCGGTTGCGTCGCAGCCCGAAGCGTGACTCGGCGCACGCTCCCTTTCAGCTCCTACACTCACAGAACCCGGGACGCGGCGGAACTACCGCTCCCACGAGGCTTTGCGCGGCCGGGTGCTTTACAATAGAAGCTCGGTTGGAGAGGCCTACTGAGAAGCGCTGGGAACCGCCGCTTCCGGCATGTTGGGCTCAGGACGAAGAACGGCCGACAAGTGCACGGCGCAGGAGAGACTCCAATGCCCAGCGGGCCGTGCGCGGGTGGCGCTTGCGCGATGCGCGGACGGGGGGGCGGTCGGGCCATTTAAATGTGTGTTTGTGGGTGAAATGGCTGCGCAGGTCGGAGCGGTGCGCGTAGTACGGGCGGTGGCGGCGCAGGAGGAGCCGGACAAAGAAGGGAAGGAGAAACCCCATGCTGGGGTCTCGCCGCGGGGAGTGAAGCGGCAGCGCCGAGCTAGCAGTGGGGGGTCTCAGGAGAAGCGGGGGCGGCCGAGCCAGGATCCCCCTCTCGCTCCTCCTCACCGGCGGCGTCGCAGCCGCCAACATCCCGGGCCGCTGCAGCCAACGAATGCAGCCCCAACCGTCTCAGGCCCTGTTGAGCCTCTTCTCCTGCCGCCTCCTCCTCCACCTTCGCTGGCACCCGCCGGGCCCGCTGTCGCTGCCCCACTCCCGGCCCCAGGCACCTCGGCCCTCTTCACCTTCTCGCCCCTGACGGTGAGCGCGGCCGGGCCCAAGCATAAGGGCCACAAGGAGCGGCACAAGCACCATCATCACCGCGGCTCCGATGGTGACCCCAGCTCCTGCGTTCCGGGCGATCTCAAGCACAAGGACAAGCAGGAAAACGGCGAGAGGGCTGGAGGGATGCCTCTGATCAAAGCCCCTAAGAGAGGTGAGAGCAGGCCAACTGCCCCGACTTGGGCTCTAGGTCTTTCTCAGTTCCGACATTCCACACCTTTAGGACTGAAAGACGCCAAACCCTTGCTTACCTCCTGCTGCTTTACTCTCCAAAGCCCAATGGGGTGGACTCTGGATTTCAGACCGTTGACACTGACCTACTTGAGGTTTCTCGCTCCGAGACCGAGCTGTCAGTTACTAACCCCCTTACCAGTCCCCGGGAGCCTTGCTAGGTTTGTTTTCAAATTCAGCAGGCTTTCCGCGCCGCGCTGTTCTGGGCGTTAGATTAGTAGGTGCGGTATTAAAAACTGCTTTCTGAAGTAAAGGCTTGTCTAAAATTCCTTCTCTCTGTTTTCCCTGCTGGGAAGGTTTCGTATTTGCTCCCTTCTCTTCCAGAATATTCATGGGTATGGTTCAGGAATTTAATGAGGGAATTCTTACAGCGGTTACACGACTCACCAGTTGATTTAGCTTCTGTAAGGTAAAATATCTAACGCAGTTTATCTTGGTTCTTTTTCATGTAGAGTAAAAATCATTCATATATTTTCATATTGGCTATTTTAATTCTTAGAATAGGGATGGGGAAGATTTTCTGTCCCTTTTGATGCTAGGAAATAGGACCAATAGTGTCTCTGAAAAGTGGGAAATGTACAATAGATAGTAGAGGCAGGAATTCCAGTTGCATTTTATTTTGTCTAGCACTATTTGTGAATCTTTAATTCCAATAACCCTCAAGAATATTTAACCTAGAAAATACGGGACCGATTGTGTGGGTTCTAAAGAAATTAAGTTGGCCAAAATTGGTGTTTTCCCATTTCCAAGTACCTGTAACATTTATTTATATTATTTGTGGAAGAAAGGGGTATGCTTTTGATTATGCCATGTTTATACTTTGTATATTATTTTATATAATTTGTTAGTTGTTTCTTCTCAAGAAGATTTAAGATACTTCCAGGTTCCTTAGTACTAGGCCAGTTATTACATGCTAATGAACCAGTCTTTCAACCTGAAGTTTTGTGGGTCTTGCATTCTTTCCACATATTTAGCCTTAACTTAGGACTAATCAGTTTTTTGTGGTGCTATTTCCTTTTTTTTTAAACCTGTTCCTTTTACAAGGTGAATTTTGTGGTGTTATTGCCAAATAGTGTAGCTAGTTGCAAATAATTGCTAGTATTTATTGAATAGGATTAAATCTTTCTTTTTTTGGTTGTATTCAAATCTTGTCCTTAGGAATAGAGCTTGTGGCAAGCTGACAGGAGTGCCACTTTCCACCACCAATATGCAATGATCTTGCTTTTATTTTTACCTTTATTCCCCACCTTCTCATTTCTTTTGTGTGTGTGTTTCAACTGTACAGAACTAGAGGGAATCTTAGTGATTATCTGGTTTAAATTTGTATTGTAGAAGAGAAAACGAAGGCCCAAAGTAGTGAAGAGACTTGTCTAATCAAGTCATAGGTAATTAGTACGAAGTACAAAATTTTTAAATGTTTTTTTTTTAAAAAACGAGTCATTGGCGTAATAGGGAGTGTAACCCAGACTCCTGAATCTCCAAGGTGCATGCTGTTGCTTTCTCTTCTTGCTAGTCATTTTTTTCCATTCCTTTGTTTACATTTTCCCTGTGCTTTGACATTACAGGGGCAGTAGATGATTTTAGATCATCAAGCATCTCTGACCCAGCCCCCTTTTATAGGGGGATAGTGGCAATGGCATGTGTAATAATTCACAGCGTGCTTCTCTGAAGATTACACAGGTCCCATGTTCCTTAAAAAAAAAACAAGCCTCTAACCCAGTGCTGACTGAGAGAACTTTCTCAGATGATGGAAATGTTCTGTACCAGTGCTGTCCGATATGGTAGCCATATATGGCTCTTGAACAGACCCGAAGGGTGGTTAGTGTGACTGAGGAACTGAATTTTTTATTTTATTTTATTCTGGTTAATTTATAATTAGTCACATATGGCTAGTGGCTACCACATTGGACAGCGCAGCTCTAAACATTTGTAGTTTGCCAATATGTGAAGAAGA